ATTTACATTTACTCGAGTGACCATCAAGTCGTCACGTGTAAACGCCGCTGCACAACGACCGTAATTATTTAATTAGACAAGGGCCCACGTGGTCGGTGCGTGTTAGCCAATCGTGTGTGTGTGTGTGCTCTCCCGCTGTGAATCAGTCAAGTCTGGAATAGAACACGATGACCGGTGAGCTGTGTTTGGGTTACGCACTGAGCTTAGAGAGGATCGGTTGTTGGAGGTAGATCTAAGGGCCTAGTGTGAGTTTTCATCAAACGCGCTCACCAGCGAACGCGTCAAAAAATGACATTAAATGTATGACGGATTGAACAGCGCACCTAGCGGGAAACGTTCAAAAACTAAAATTTTCATACATTTTTAAACTCACACTCAGCCCACTGGTAGATAAATCGAATCGTAGTTTTTAATCGATCGAAATTATTTTGCATGATCCTCATTAACACAATCGTAAGATTACTGACTTAATAAGGTTTGGAGTAGTTACAGTAATTTGTGAATGATAACGATTCTATATGTTTCACTAAAGATACATTTTGGTTCAATCGATATTCTATAGCAAGTTTTTGTAGAGAACCCTTCCTAATAAATTGTTTCATGCTTTTAGTATCCCAGACCTAAACACGAATGAAACGAGCGAAAGACAGGCTCACAGTCTGTGGAATATTTTAGAAAGGTAATAAAATAATTTATAAAAAAAATAATGTATACCGTTAATGTTATCCCGAAGTGGTGGTAGGAAAAGCTATAGTGCCTATAGGGACGTAATTCTAAGTGCCATAAGAAGGCCTTCATCAGGAATTCAGGCCTCATAATGAATGCCTAAGTGATCTTACATACTAATAAAGAAATTGAAAAATTGGATTAAAATATTCCAATACAAAATTCACACTTCACACTGGCCAATACCAACGCCGCGCGCTACAAAAAAGCGCTACGTACGCTGCGTGCGTATCACTGTTGATACAGTTGCGCTTGCACAGCGTTTATTGTTCGACAGCGCTAGTGAGGTGCAAGGTCAAGTTTGACTTCTGAAAATAGGGTTTCGTCTTCTGTTAATGTTTTGTTGAGTCTATAATCTAGGTAGTACAAGAGGTAAGTGGATTTTTGTTCCACTATCAGCTAACTTCTTTTTAAAAATAAAAATCTTATGCTGGTCACAGAAAAGTGTCAAGATTTTTGTAAAGATGACCTACACCTACTGAACTGTCATCAATCAAACTCATTGACAAGGGGGCGCCACAATTGTTCAACTATACAATGACATTATAGTTTCCAACATGGCAAAAATCGGAACCAGCAATCCAGTATTGACAAATTAATGCTTTTAAAAGCTAGTGTAGGTTTCTCGTAAATATGAGTATTATCTACACGTTTCGAAAACTTAATATTTTTTGCTGGAACATAGGTCTAAGGAAAGTTATGACTCTTATCGTCCTATCATTTCCTTCAGCGGTATTAATTTAAACCTATAGTCCAGCATGTGAACCACTTCACAATGTCAACGCGTCCTCTTTGGTCCGATAGAAAATCTCTCAATTTCCTTGCTTTGAAACGACTTTATGATTATTATGTTTTAAATCTTAACACATAAAATATCTACAATTTAATTAAAACAAAACACTACACCCCCATTTCTCCACATCGAATCGCGTTTATTGCTCGATCTTAAGTCGGCATCAACAATTTTTATTATCAGAGTGACTCAGAGGGCTCTGGTGTCAAATCCTCACAATGAGGCGAAACTCAACACCCCTCAATGTTTTGTGGGGCAATTAATGTAGCACTAAATACCAAAATAGGTTTTGGTTTATGTCAAACGTAAAGCAAGTGAGTAAAAGTCAATGATGGGATGATGGAGGAGGGTATGGAAGTGTGGAGTCAGCTTTTTGTTCACGGTTTGGGAGTTAGTTTGAGAGTTATTGGGTAATCTAGAAAATTAATCTACCTGGTGATATTTGAATCCATACCCATCACCCATGGCGTAGATGTAGTCTTCAAATTCTAAAAGCTCATTTATTTATTTGGAAACTCAACAGCTATGTCGATTTAAAGTTGATATACTGAGAATCAGTTAATGAAATTACGATTTCTTTAAAATGTCAATAACTTTTTGAGAGTTGAACATACATTAGTTTAATTATTTATTAAGGATTGTATCCTTTTCAGGAAAAGAGACATTTCTGTTTATTCACCATGTTAAAATTATTCACTATCCTACTAATATTATAAACGCGAAAGTGTTAAAATAAAAGTACACTGACCTGCCTGAAAATAATAACTGAATTTCAGGCCATTTTGAACATCTACCTTCTTAAAACTAAACAAATTACACTTTATGAACAATTAATGAATGTCCATGACACAAAACTGCCATCATAATATTCCAACGTCACTATTTAAGTAAAACAAATGACGTGACAAACGTTTCAAAATGTGCCCCACTTCTTCAGAATCATGTAAACAATCGTCATCTATTTATAATATTGAATAACCATTATACTAACTGGTATATTGCATAAGAGTTTCTGTTTAAGGACAGAAATAGATAATGAAAAATTACGCGTAGTTTTCATAAATGTGACGGTTCATTTCATAATACCGTGCTATTTTGGACTGATTTATTGTTCGTATTTTGGTTTATTGTGTATTGGACTTTGTAGATGTGTGATTATTGCCGGGCGTTATGCAAAAAAGTATTTAACTTTATTTAAGTAATCCGTTGTTTGGTATACCTATAGTAGGTCAAATCGTTCATGACGCCCAAAGTAACCAAAAAGTTCATCACGTCATTTAGGTAGTGTTGTCAAGTTTTTGTCCACTTTTTGTGTCACGAACTAATTGACGCTGACAATAAGCTTTGCTTCGTTTGAGACAAGATGACATACCCCTGTATTCACAAACATTACATACTTTGAGGTCTCAAAATGCGCGTGGACGCACAGGGTGACACATGAACCAATCACAGAGCTCTATTCAACGCTGTGCATTCGATTTGCTGCTTCACTTAAGCAAGCATCGTTTGTGAATACGATTGTGCAAAATGTCCAAGGATATTCATTTTATTTATTTTGAAGATGCGGAAGCATCAGCAGCCATTAGTTTATCACTCAGCAGGATCGTACTTCTAGTATGCGTGAGCGCATCTTGGCCCGCTGCCATCTTGGTGCACTGTGTCACTGTGCTTAGTATTGCTATTTTATGACCTAATTTATCATGATCTTAGCATCTATGTAGTTAGTATACTCGTAGTTGCATTTTATATTAATCTCAGGCCTGTGATTTTTTAATTTTTATAATTATTAATTATTATAATTTTGTTAAATGTAAGTTTTTTTGTTAAATGCAAATCCATCAATGGATCGATTTCAGGAAGAGTTCCACAGTGCAAGTAGACAATTTTGTAATTGATTTCGATTCGTAATTTTTATTGCTTCTCTACGTCTCGTTACGTACTGGAGATAACGATGCCGATTATTTATAATGTTAACGAACTTAGTACATTATTTTAGGGTTTCAGAGGCATTATTACATTTTAGTGAATAAAGTAGAGAAGACAAAGATAAAATTATTTCAAAAAAAACGTAGGTAATTAAAAAATAGGATAACGCCTATAGAAATGTGACTAAAGAAAATTACAAATACTCCCTTTCAATCCTACTTACTGTAGCTCTTATTTACAATAAATTCATACAAAATTTTATTTGAGCATTAACCGGTATCTATTGGAAGCCAGCCTTGTCATCATTTTATATTTTATTATAGGCATTAACAATATAATTGTTATTGTTGTAACTACCGAATCGACATAAAAATTAGGGACCGTTACCAGTTAACGCCTATCCGTTTGAAATAGCAATTTGTTAAGCAGCAGCTTTGTGTTTTTGCTCGTGTAATCTAACAGGCGTTCGGAAAACTGTTCGTTCTTTCAAAACTTTCAAGGTAAATTAGATATGTACTTACATATTTTAGAGCTTATAAACTTACGTATTGTATTTGTTATTGTTTTCGTATACTCGTAAATTTATGAATTATTTGATAATACACAGTGTCAAAAAATATACACAGGGTTCATTGTCCTTGTTAGATTGGTTAGGTATATCAATTTTGCTGGATTACTTTGTGGTTTAGATATTTAAATTTTGTCCTGTTTAACAGATAATACCTTCTTTGTCTAACAATGGGCCGTAGTTCATCGACATGAATGGTGAATCATATCGCGAGTTGTGGTTGGACAAAGTATCGCGCGTTAATGTGTTTTGAAAAGGCAAATGTTGCTTTAAAGCAACGTTTATTAGGCACTTATGAACGAAATATTTTACGTTTATGATTTATTAAATGAACTGAGGTGGATTTGTGTTTTAAATAGGAAGTGCCACAAAAGTTGACTCTGACTGTGTTTATAACTAAGCAATTAGTATGGATGGAAAAATACGAGTTAAGTAAAAAAATATTCATTCAATTCTGAGAATCTTTTGAGGAAAACTTTGAATCTTCTGGAGGTTTATTTTTATCCTGATTATAAAAATGTGCATAATGCAATTAAAACAGAAACTCGCTAGTGCAGAGCTTCGGATTTGTAATTAATTAAACTACACCTGAATTTAGCTTTAGATTGACCATTTTTTTGACATAAAATTGTTTAGTGATTTTTGAGACTCGTATAATTAAGATCTACGTTCGTAGTCACGTTGTTGTACTTGTACAATAACATAATCTATCTACGTCATTTTTGAGAACCGATAGGTGGACCAACCTCTTTTTGATATTGTCTATGTTTTTATACTTTTTTTATTATTTTTGATACCTTTTGTTTTCTAGTTTTGAAGGTTATGTTTTTGATAGCTGTCAGGGCATATATTGCAGAAATACACTTTTATTTCGAACCGAAGGTATTTTTTATTTCCACACGCCCGAGCTACTGTCCACTACAGTCATAATAACTAAAGAAAAAGACTAGAGAAACTAGAGAAAAGAAAAAGATAAAAGAAACTCACCACATCAGCATCAGCAACTCCATCAGCCACATCCGTCCCCCCCTTATCCCGCCAGTGCTTCTCGCTCGTCACCGAAAACGTAAACGATCGCTCCCTCCGTGGACTCAAGAGCACTCCCGCAGGAGTCCTGGGACTTCCATAGCCGAAGATGTCCAGGTTTCTGGTGGAGAATGGGTCGTTGCCGTTGTCCGTTCGGGGGCTGATGAAGACATCGTCTTCTAGATCGGAGTCGAGAGTCAGGGTTAGAGGGGGGGAGGAGGCTGAGCGACGGCAGTGGTGGGGCTGATGCGGCGGCGGACGATCGGCGTCGGACTCTGAGTAGGGGCGGTCTGTAAAGAAGCAGAAATGGTTTTGTTAGCAGTGTGATCAGTTTAGATTATAATACAGGGTGGCCAAAACAGTGAGGTCTAAAAGAAAAATTTAGATTCCTTACATCAAGGTCGTCCCTTAGCTAACAACACCGCTTAAGTCGATTTTTGGCGGTTTTGACATTTTAATGCCATTGGATAGATCTGCTCATCGCGCGTCTAACCATTGGTCACATGTTACAGATTTCAGCCAATAAGAAGCCGTAATTTGAATTTTAGTGACACCGCGCAAGTCGGTTTGCCTCGCAACACCGCTCAAGTCGTTAGTCTGCCATACATTTCTCGTAAAGTTCCTTCGCGCTCCGTAATTTTTATATTTTTATGTGAGTTTTATCACGAAAAGGTCTATGAAAGAAGTTTTAATAAAAGATTAAGAGGTAAGCTGTATAATAATGTATTTTTTAATGATTTACGCGTATTAATATATAAGGAAATGATAATAGAAAATATCTTCATTTACTTAAGCGGTGTTTACAATTTTTTTTTTCAAACTTAGGCGGTGTTTCAAACTGTGTTTTAATTCTTTTAGGAAGCTATACAAGTGAAATCCACTATTGATAGAGAAGGAATTGATTCTTGAAGTATTCCGAGTTCAGGTGATGAATTTTTATGTGCACAATTACAAGAAGCAGGACATAAACGGCGTAAAAAACTGCCCAGGTTTCAATCCAATCGAAGGCTTTCTCATAATCCACAAACGCCAGGCAAAGTGGCTGATTATACTCCGCGGTCTTCTTTATAATCTGCTGCACNTAGCGTAACTACCTACCTATTTTTTGAAGAAGTGACTCTGGATCCTTCTAAAGACACATTTTTGCCTTTAATGAAATGAAGGTTAGAACTAGGCTTTTAAATGGTGCCAATATTGGTGGGAAGTGGGGAAGAATACGTTTGAATATGCTTGTCGCGGGAGGTGCGATTTATTTGATGTCGAGTGTATAAAATTTTCAGGGTCTCTATTACTCAAAAACAATTTATTGTTCCTGTTGCTGATCAGTGAATTACTTTAAAGAGGTGTATTTTCGTAAAATTTTGTGTTGTACGAAGAAAAAACCAATGATTGCTTGTATTTGAAAACTAGAATGCCTTTCGTACATGACAGGTCTTTTTTCATAATATGTATTTCAAAGGGTGCAAAAGTTATAATTTACAGAATGAAAGTTATTGGATACTATTTCTGGTACCTACTGTAAGTTACTGAATTTTAGTTATTTTTAAATAAATCTCACTTAACATCAGGTACGATTGCGGTCATTTTATCTGCCTTGTCTGCAAAAAGAGTTGTAAAACCAAGTGATTTGTGAGCTCTTTCGTTGTTGTACATCACTTTCAATCCAAAATTAAGGTTAACTATCAAACAATAACATCAGGCACTATAATGCTCGTGTAGTACACGCAATCTAGGCAAGTCGCCGTAAAAACGCTGATCTGGTACTAAATCAAAAGTTTATGGTCGTTTCGCCTACGCCGTACCCGCGTGGGTCGCGGTGACAGCGCACTTTATACTTTTTAGTCAAGTTTGCGAGAAATGTATAAAGAAAAAAATATTTTATTTAGACCCAACAAACAAACTTGAAAACAAAGCAGTCCCTAGTTGTAAGGCAAGGAATTGGTGTCAAGGATTTCAGCGACGAAATTAAGCTTGATTTTGGCAAGCTTTTTATGGGCGTGTGTTAAGTTTAAATTTATACATAGAGTTAAGTTAAACCATGAATTACTAGCCTGCTGAATTACTGGCTAACTGAAGTACCAAGATATAGGGTGAACGATACAGTTCCTTATTGTACTCGAACGATCGATGAAGAACAGAACTTATCAAAGCTAATTTAATTAGCTTTTAAAGGTATTGATGGAAATCAAAATTGTAAGCAGTCTTTTCAATTTCTAAGTGAAATTTATCACCCATTTATCGACTAAAAGAAATGACCTTCATCTTGCAATCTTTATTTAGAAGACCTAAACTTGATTTCAAAGCCAACAAAAGGTTTTTCTTTTAACACAAAGTCTCCAACCCATCAGACGCTACCTGCTCCACAAAAGAGTTTCGCAACTGCGCGTAAAGTCAAAATACTATTGGAAGTTGACAAATATGCACAAAAAGTGTCTGGTGGCTGACAGAACAAAGCAAAGTAATTTGTTATCAGGCGAATCGACGGAGCCGGCACCAGGGCTGCAGGAGTCATGAGGAGGTACGGGCCACAGTGCAGGAGGGTTTGTGTCGTAGGTGACGATTCTTATGTCTATCTAGATCTAGAATTCAATTTCTTACTTATTCAGTCCAAAGATTTTCCAAGAAAGATCCTTCCTGTTATGCCACATGGCATTAAGCTCGCCTGTTGTACCACTGTATTTTTATGTGTGCAATAAAGATTTTAAATAAATAAATAAATAAATATAATCGACTGTAGCAGATGATCTTAGATGGTCATTGTGTACTTGAGTAGTGATTTGGGTATGATACTGATATCATAGTATAATCGTTATGGTATCTAGAACTAAATAGGTGATTTTAGTTGCACAAAAAGTTGCTGGAGGAAAGTAATAAGCACAAAATTCTTATTTTACAACGTCAAAGAAAAATAATTGGCATCATTATTAAAAAAGCAAGTCTTCTCAAGTTACTTGACTTAATATCCTCTTGGTGGAACAAATGGGATCAACCATGAATCTGTAAGTCTAACTACCCTAAAACTTTGCAAATAATCGCTTTTATATCCAAAACAACTTACCAAACCGATCGCCAATGAACTGTGGCGGTAAGAAACACAAATTAATAAAATCATGGGCCGCGCTCGCGCAGAGAACTGGTTCCAACGGCACACGTGCACCGACCGGCCGAGCGGGACGGAGGATATACCCGTCGCGGGTTAAGTGCATCGTTGGTGTTAGTGTGGATAAGACACGGTTTAAAAACTAAACTTACTAGGGTATTTCTATCATGAGGTTTGAAGCTTCTGCTGTTAGAGCATGAATCTTTACTTTACCAGAGACATTTTTTTTTTATAAGGTTTCAACAGCTTTATTAGTATTTAGTAGGTATGATCGCCAAATAGGTTTCTATGTAGCATTAAAGAACTGATTGGTTTCTAGGGCTTAACAGTTTCTTTTGAAAGATAATAAAATAATACAATACTTTGTACCGGATGAGATTATGCAATTTTATAAATTAGCATCTACTATAATTATTTCAAAAACAAATAAAATCATCATCAAAAATATTTATTCAGTTTAGACCACAAGTGGCACTTAAGAACGTCAAATATAAAAAAAGAAAAGGTAGCCCTTAAGGTAGCACTTTACATTGCCATCATCAAACTGAAGTGCCATCATCACTGCTAAGAAAATAAAAATTATCTAAAAAAAAAAGTACACCAGCAAAATGCAAATGATTCAAACCACCCCTATAATCAAACTGATGCAAAAGGGTACCTAACGTTTGCTTTTTTAGTTGGACTGATATTAAAAAGAATCATCGCTACGATCATAGCCATATCCATAGTTCCTCACCCGATGCACTGATAGCCCGCTCGTTTTTTCCCGGCATGGAGCGCGTAACACAGGTGTCCCTGGCTTACGCCTATTACAATATGCCGTCTATATTATTTATTTTACGTATTCCAAAAAAAATAAATAATATAGAATATTGCTGTTTGGAATTACGCAGTCGGGCGGTGACGGGTGTATTTTGCGAAATAGGAATACGGAAGAGATGGAAGAATGGGACGGTGATTCCGTTTTTCTGGATGATTTTTTTATAAATAGCTTAAAACTTGAAGAGCAATTGGTAGTGAATTTCGGAGTATCGAATTACGGGATTGATGTCACAAAGTTTTAAGAGTGATTAATTGAAAACAGGTTCAGTATTTTGCCAAAAGATTGTTGAGTAATAATAGTAGAGTTTGTCTACATTTTAGGTATCAAAACTTGGATAGTATAGCCTGACCAGGAACATAAAAACCCTGGCACAGAGGCGCTTCAATTGCATTTGATAGTGCAACACTGAGTACAGTCGTACATGTGTTAAATTAATAGGCTAAATTTATGTATCAGGATTCAGGATTACGGGCTAATTTGATATTTTCATAAATTAACGAAAAATATTATTAAAGATAACCTGGTTTAAATAAATTAAATGAAACCATCAATCGAGCTAGTAGGATTTATTTTATTATTCATCAATAATCAAATTCAGAACATGAATATTCAACTGCAATGTCTGCTCATGAACGCTTCAAACTCGGTACTTCTTTCCCAATTCCATAAAATTCAAAACTTAGAAAGTGACAAAAAACTTTAAAATAGGTAGTTGAAACAGACTACAGCTAATTTTCATAGTGGACTGTACCATACGATAAACATGTCAGTCAATTTGACAACCTTTGTCGGAAACATTATTCAATGAAAATATTGTCCGAACCCTTAATATTTTTCTTCGACAAATACATTAACACATCGTGAACCACTTTTCTTTCACGACTATAAAAATATTTTAGCAATTTAATTCACAAAATCAATTGCACACATTAAAATAAAGTTTGTTTACACTTTGACAACAATAGACTGACATGCAATGATGCAAGGTGACATGACAATGAAGTTTTCAGTTACTGTTGCCATTAAAAGAAATTAGTACCATTAGTTTTCCGCAACATGGCGAGGGTTTTTATGTTCCTGGTCAGGCTATAACAAAAATATTTTTAATTCTTAAATCGAAAGACATCAATTTAGGTAGAAACACGAGAAAATAACTTCTTCCAACTGATGGTTACGTCGTCTAATTAGTTGGAATAAAAAGTAAAAACCACATGAAATGTCAAGAATCTTACATAAAAGTCAGTAAAAAGCAACATACTCAGCAAACTGAGCTAATAAAGGAAATTGCCTGGACATGTCACATAAAGAAGATGCCACATTAAAACTGTTAACATGAGCAAGAAACGTACTATACAACTAATAGCATAATTTCCGATGTAGGGACGATGTAGGGTTTAGGGAAAAATAGTGATTTACATGATAATAATAATAAAAATAATAATAGTAATAATGACGCTTGGCTGAGGCCCGCGCCATAGGTCAAAACACCCGTCTTTAAGATGGAGAAAGATAGAATCTTTGAAATAAAATAATAATAATAATAATCATTTATTTGCCTTAAATAGGTGGTTACAGAGTAGTTCTTATTTGATTAGATATAATGTTACTTAAGACCTATTTAGTCATAGACTATGACATGCATGTACCTACATATTACTATTAGACATAAGAATAGATGTATTGGTTTCAATTCAGTAAATTAAAACTAATCATAAATTACCAAAGGCTAAAATGCTTACTGAAACTGTGCTTTGTACCTAACCCAAATGTCTTTTTTATTATTAGACAGATTTAATGAAATATTTTCTATTCATCATTCCATTTGCGCCCTTCGACTAAGATTTTTGTCCAATTTGCCAATTATAATGTGAAATAACTAATCACCTTTCAATACGTGAAACGACCCAAAAAGGCAATCAACTAATACATTTTCAAACTAGCTTAGCCTATTTAACAAAACCACCTCACCTTGTCGCCACCATCAACAAAAGGCTGGAAATACAATCTAGTTATTTATTTGGACTTGATTGCGACTGTACGAACACTAATCATAACAATGGACCATCTGTGAATGTTTATTGCTTTGTCAACGTGGTCAGTACTTATCAGTGGCTAAATGCTCGATGGATTCTGATTAAAAGGTTTAAATGTCGAAATCTATCTGCAGAAGAGGTTAGTCTTGAATGTACCTACGTCAATAGTTTCCTCTGTGATTGGTTCGTGTGTCACCCTGTGCGTCCACGCGCGCCGTGAGACCTCATAGTAATGTTTGTGAATTTATACGGGTGTTAGTATCGCCACTATACAATAGTGACTGAGTTTCTTGCGCTGCTTCTTCTCAGCACTGGCCCATTTATTGTCCCGAAGCAGTGGTAGGGTTAATACTGGGACGTGTAAAAGTGCTTTTTAAAAGCCCACTTTACATGTCTTTTTAACTTTTGGGTATTTGAGCCTTATTAATGTTTTTGTGTTTAGATTTTATAAAAAAGCAATTTGGTGTGTTTCACTTTAATGATTGGTGCTTAAACTAAGCTTTATTCTGCCGCACAGAAAGTATCAGAAACTTTAGTTAACGCAATGAAAAGCACTTGTTCCATCGTCTAACGCCGCTATGTCTACCAGTAACTATTTATTATACAGGGTGATAAGTTGTCTTGTTTCTATCTTTTCAGTTCAAAAGAAAAAGCAAAAAAAATAGCAACCAAAATCTACAGTGACTGTGTTGTGGTCATTCTTGAACCCACGTGTTAGGTACTCATGGATATTTCAAATTTTAAATTTGTTGAAACTTAATTACCCATGGTAAGAAGGGAATGGGGAAAAAGATCAAAAGTTTAATAAACCCTATTTGGTTAGATTCATCCAAAAAGCGTAGTATTTAAGCAATTTTTACTATTTTGTGTATTTTTTTATTTGCCCGACTAGCTGCGCGTGCGCACTTAAAAAATCCAATCTGTATATTTACGCAAAAGAAGTTTAACATCCACTCGACAAGGATAATCACTGTTTACAACTCTGATTTCATCACAGCTCGCTTTGCGGTACCTTAATTTGCTAATCCATATGTAATTTCACATAATAATAACTAACCGTCTAGGAGAGATAGTGATGTGAAGCTAAAGACAGATTTGACTATCGATGTAGTCCAAATTGTATTTGAGGTATCGATACTAATCATTTAAGATGAGTCACAATACAGTCATCATTGAACTGAACATGGCAGCCATTTAAAGCATTCATCATTTCAGCCATAGGACGTCCACTGCTGAACATAGGCCTCCCCCAATGCTTTCCATGTTGATCGATTGGTAGCAGCCTGCGTCTAAAGTATTATAAAGCAGTACCTAATAGTTTTTTTTAGATTTTCCTACCTATTGACCTAATTTAGAAACAATATTACACGAACAGTCACTATGGATCGTATCACATCGATGACCCACAACCTTGCTGTCGACGAAGAGTATTAAATTGGAGTGTACGAAGAGCCCTAGAGAAGATTGATCAGTTATCGATAGACTAGCACATCACTAAACTAATGCAAGGTTTGTGCAAGTGCAATTTGAGTGCGTTTTCATTATTGCGTGTGTCAACGCGTTTAGTAGTTGTAATAGTACTGTTGTTAAGGTAGCGGTCTTTGATTTTATTTACTCGATGGAGTTACTAAGAAAGTGATTTCTTTTCTAGGACGGATTCAACGAACTTATCTGTTTGTTTATCACCGGTATCTTTAAGTAGGTAGCAAAAAAATCTTTGATACCAAATATACTCGTAAATTACCGTTAATTTATGTATTTCTATTTAAAAAACACTCTTTTCACTCACTCTTTTCTTTTCGATTAGAAAACAGTGGTTTTCATGAGTGCACATAATGTTTTAATTTAATTAAAATTGGAGCACTTTATACCTACTTACCTATATGCAAACTTTTAGCATCACTCAAACAAAGTGTTTCATCAATCCATTTTAAACTTTAGTACTAAGCAAATAAACAGTTTAATTATTCATCAAAACATAAATCAGAATCGCTTTCACCTAGAAAAGGGGCCATAAAACTAAACCAAATCTATAAACTCCATACTTTGTTGGGAGTAAACACTGAGGTGTATAAGAGTTTCTTCAAACACTTGGACGTCATAAAACGGTCAGTTTTATGGCCCACATAAATCAACATCGATAGCAGACTAATACAAAGATGCAGCAGTAGAAACGACCCTTAAAATTGTCTTTCGAATTGGTAATTGGTACGATTCTATTGAAGGTAATAAAGTTTTAATGAAACATAA